ATTTCTCGGCCAGGGATATGGCCACCTTAAGCAGACTCAATCTTAATAAAATTATTCTAGTGACAGGCGATTTCAATGTTAAATTTAATACAATAGAGAAAAACACGGTTCTTCTCAACAATACATTTCTATCTTTCGGTTTGAAACAAGTTATATTTCAGAACACAAGAAAATACTCCTGCTTAGACAATATTTTTACCATCATTAATACTAATTTTATGGCAACCGCAATAGACATAAAGTTATCAGATCATGCCGGTATTCATTTTAATTATTTATTCTCGCTTCAGTGTCAGTAACAATTATAGCATAATAAACTACAGACCTATTACAGATCAGGGCGTAATATTGTTATAACGAGCGTTCAAATAAAAACGTGGTCGAAGTTGGCTCTGACACTGCATTACTTAGATGCAGCTTATGCTTCAAAATTCTGTTCAGAAAATAACCGAACTTTTTTAATTACACGCTAATGGAGATATTCAGCGATATGTGGTGGACAGCATTACGTTGCGCATAATCCATAGACCTAGTTTATAAGGTCTATGGCATAACCTCATCTATAATCACATGTTCTTGGTTTGTTGGTATCTACTTTAGTTTCCGTGATATTGTTATGCAATGTATTTAAATGATAGTGAGGATTTTTGAAATGAGCGATTTTTTGGAACAATGATGCAACGTGAAATTTTGCGTGAAACTTAGGAAAATCTTCACGGAAATGTTTCAACTTCTGAAACAACGACGATGATGTTCTGGGTCATACGCCATGTTACGAATGGTTTTCACAATTTAAAAGTGGTCGAAGATGATCCCCGACCAGGAAGGTCTTCGACTTCAACTGATGACTCCCATGTTGCAGAAGAGGTTAACATCTTAATTAGGTCATCTCTACGCCACGAGAAAGCACGTCAGTCTCGATCTAATATCAAAGTGATGCTCACTTTTTTCGACGTTAATGGAATTGTGTATTTTGTATTCTTGCCGTAAGGTGAAACAGTGAACTGTGTATACTATCAAGGCGTTTTACTACGGTTACTTAAAAAAGTCCGCAAAAAGAGACCAGATCTGTGGGGAGACAACTCATGGTTCCGTACTCGCCAGATCTGGCTCCTTGCAATTTTTTTTCTTAGCCAAATGAAAACACCAGTAAGAAAAATGTGTGAATAGCGGAGGGGAGTACTTTGAAGGGCCAATAAAGTTCAGTTATTTTGTGAACAGACCTCGTATGTTAAATCCAAACATCAGCAATAATAATTTCATTTCAACCTTTACAAGAATTTCAAATACAGCAGCGAATGATCCAATGCAGATAATACGTGCCTTATTTTGCACGAGAAAAATATATTTCATAAAGAATTATAGTAATAGTTACCATCTGGTCCAGTTATATTGTATGCGCCGTTTTTAGCTGGTAGACGAACGTAATACGTCACATATCTAGAAAGTGGATTATACACCGTCACCATATACTTGTCCTTAAGCGCATTTTCACAAGAACTAATGTTTGCAAGCAGGCAAGACGAAACCGGCAACGTTATGTCGTCAGTCACATCATCTTTTTTCAACAGATTTCTGAAAGATATTTCACATTATTACCTATTATTATTACTGGAAAATAAAACTTTTTGGGACTTTTTTACAAAATAATAACACCAATAAGGACGTTTTAAATAAGAACGATAGAAAAGATATTAGATATTAAGTAAAAAGTGTGTTATATCCCGGTGACTATATTTGTACCCCAATACTTTTCCTAAATGGCTCTCGGTTTCCCTAATAGCTTTCGTCAACATCCTGGTATAGTCTGCAGCAACATGTTCTTTCTCAGTGCCAGTGATAGCATCGTGGTGTTGCATAGTACCCATAACTTCCCTTAATGATCTAACGTTCTCTTCATATTTATTTTCATTCTCCAGATTCCTCATTTTTGAAAAAGCATTGAGGTGTTCAGAAACCTAAAGGACCAAATAGATTCATTTACTTTTCAGAATATACAAGGTGTTCCAATTAAAACTTCCCATCTGGAAAATATCAGAATTAAAATAAAAGAATAAAATACCTGAGACATGTAGATTTTCTTTTCAAGGAGGACACGTGATGGCGTAAATATTGGTGTCTTGGAGGCTACGCCTGAGACAGGAGCATAAAATATTCTTAAACTTTAAATGGCACCCTCAATTTAAAGCTTTTTCAATTCTGCTCACGACAAACAACTTTTCGAATTTTGGTTTGGACATGACAATATAATCATCACTTAAAGAATGAGACAAAATATTAATGAATGGAAAGTATGTTATTTTATTAAATGTTCAAATTGGTTTCCCTCCGCTTTCATACAACAATATAATCTTTGCTCCACTTCCTAACGAACATTTCGAAGGATTTCGGGCGTTATCTAACGACATTCTTCAACAATTCGCCAACGGAGCTCCTCTTTTAAGGATGAGTGTGTGAGGAATGCCTGTTTGAGACGGCGAGTGTTGAATATAATGGTTTTATTATAATAACCATATACAGGTCTCTTAAGGGTGACCTTAACGTATACTTAGAAAAACCGAATTTGCTATTAAGGGCGCCATATTCTTTAAATAGTGTTTTCCACAAAGACAAATAATTTCAAACATTTAATAATTGAATAATCTAAAGCTTATCAAATAATGGAATGTTATGTCACGCCATCTGGGTATTTTCAAAGACGCCACAGTAAAACGAATGAACAGGCGCAAAAAACAATCAAGGTTTTTGGTACTGAAATCTACGAAAATACTTTTTTGTTTATAAACAATTCCACATGTAAATATTCTTATAACATTTACTTGCTTAGTCCTACATATAAAATTGTTTACGTTTATTTGTAAGTACGTGAAAATAATTCTTAAAAAGTGGGGTTAGGATAACAGCAAACGCATGTTTTACAAACGCTTTTTTTAGTTATTATTTTATTTGAGTAAATTTAAATAGTAACAATGAATAAACGGAACATCAAGGATTTTATTTTTGTGCTTACTTTTGTTCTATATGTTTTACTTCTCAAGATTTCAGTACCTAAAAACGCCAGAGATTTGACTATTTCTCGGCCAGGGATATGGCCACCTTAAGCAGACTCAATCTTAATAAAATTATTCTAGTGACAGGCGATTTCAATGTTAAATTTAATACAATAGAGAAAAACACGGTTCTTCTCAACAATACATTTCTATCTTTCGGTTTGAAACAAGTTATATTTCAGAACACAAGAAAATACTCCTGCTTAGACAATATTTTTACCATCATTAATACTAATTTTATGGCAACCGCAATAGACATAAAGTTATCAGATCATGCCGGTATTCATTTTAATTATTTATTCTCGCTTCAGTGTCAGTAACAATTATAGCATAATAAACTACAGACCTATTACAGATCAGGGCGTAATATTGTTATAACGAGCGTTCAAATAAAAACGTGGTCGAAGTTGGCTCTGACACATTGGANATGCAAATTGCAGAGTATTTTGAAAACAATAATTTATTCCATTCTAGTCAATACGGTTTTAGGAACAAAAGGTCAACAACTTTAGCTATTAACCAGTTGACTACAATTATTTTAAACAATTTCGAATCAAACAATGTTGTCAGTGGAAATTTTTACGATTTGACTAAGGCATTTGACTGTGTGTCCCACAGAATTCTCTTAAATAAACTAAAATTTTACAATTTTGATGACAATAGCGTGTCCCTTATTGAGTCTTATCTATCGAACAGAACTCAGTATGTTTTTTATAATTTTTGTTCTTCACACCTAACGGAAATAGTTCGTGGAGTTCCCCAAGGCTCAGTATTGCGCCTTATTCTATTTTTTATCTATATTGATGATTTACCAAATTGTGATATAACTACTGATTTTATTTTATTTGCCGATAATGAACCACTTTAAAGTCAAATAATAACTTAACTAAACTCACAGAGGATTCAGTGGATGCACTGCCGCTGATAAAGAACTGGTTTATTACTAATAGATTGAACTTAAATGTTGACAAAACTCAATCTTTGCTTTATACACTTCGCCCTATCAATACTTGTGATAACTCAAATAGCATTAAATTTCTTGGAGTTCACCTTGACACTATATTGTGTTGGGAAAACATGTCAATGATTTATCCGCACGTTTATCTAAGAATATTTTCCTATTGCGTAATTTGGATCGTGTAGTCTCTAAGCCTGTACTCATGTCTGCATATTATGGTACTTTTCACGCTACCGCGACTTATACAATTTTGAACTGAGAAAATTTTTGGTTTACAACGTAAATGTATTAGAATTATAGCTGGAAGATGAGAGATGATTGTCGAGAGCACTTCAAACTGCTAAATATTCTTACAATGCCGTCAGTTTACATACTTGAATGCCTCGTTTATATAAAAAATAATCAGAATAGATTAAATTCTTTAATAGACTTCTATCTGAGATTCGATCACTAAATTCAGACTGTTTTAAGGCCAGAATTAGAAAATATCTTAAGAGAAAAGCGTTTTATAATTTTGATGAGTTCTTTGCTGACCAGTTTTTAGATATACAGGGTGTTACATGTTTGACTGCCTTAATTTTAACAGACGATGGATAATAAAATAAAATTCTTTCATTCATTGATATTTTGTCTTATTCTTTAAGTGATGATCTTAATGTATATCCAAACCTAAATTTAAAAAGTAATATGTTATCATGAGCAGAATTGAAAAAGCTTTAAAATGAGATGTCATTCGACACAGGGAGCCATTCAAAGTTTAATGGTATTTTACCCCCCCTACCTTAGGGGTTGCTTCCAAGAGACCAAAACTTACGCCATCACGTGTCCCTCTTGAAAAGAAAATCGACGTATCTCAGATTTTTTTTTGTTTTCCTTTAATTCCTATATTTTCCAAGTGGGAAGATTTAATTGGAACACCCTGTACAATTTCCCGTTTACCTGTAATATATTATTGCCGCTGCGCTCAAACCGTTTAACAGTGGGTCTGGATGTGTAATATCCTGACCAATAAG